TGTGTGTGTGTGTGTGTGTGTGAATATCCATCTGTCCATTTTCTTCCTCTTATCCGGGGTCGGGATGAAGGGTTAGCAGCCTAAGCAGAGAGGCCCAGACTTCCCTCTCCCCAGCCACTTGGACCAGCTCCTCTGGGCGAATCCCAAGGTGTTCCCAGACCAGCTGAGAAACATAGTCCCTCCAGCGTGTCCTGGGCCTTCCTCTGGGCCTTCTCTAAGTGAGAGGAAATTAAAGTAAAATAAAAAGGTACTAACCTAACTAAAAATCAAGTTTTCAAGTAAAACAGGCCAACATATTCAGAAAACAACAATAAAAATGAAAATTTTAGGAGAAAACTGAAAACAGTGTTTTTAACACCACCTTTTCTCTTTTGATTATTCGTTTTTTTTTTTTTTTTTACTTTTCTTAATGAGAGAGATGGTCCTGCCAGTAATTAAAATCTTAGTTGGAATGGAGTCAGTGCCATTCTCATGCAGGCAGGTGTTCATTTGACAGTCTAGAACAGTGCTTGACTCACAGCTGTAAGTTGATCCAGTGTGAGCAGTGTTACTTTGGTTAGACCAGGGAACACACTCAAACACAGTGGAGCCAGACGTCAGCAGGGTCTGTCGCCTCAAGAACGTTCTCTTAATGTACTCTCCCATGCAGATCCTCCTGCATGGGTCCAATTATACATCTGTGTTGCTTCCTTTGATTTGTCTGATGACAAAGGATTGTGGACCAACAGAAGGCGCTGTTGAACCTTTGACTGAAGTTTCCAATCAGCTTGTTTCTGAAGTTGACGTAAGGAGAAACATCTCTCTCACCCCGAATCTGTTCCTGCAGTTTTAGTAGAAAACAAGATTTTCTGCCTCTGAAGCAGGCCTCGGATGGGCCTTCAAAAAAGACAGAAGCTCTGTTCCACTCTGAACTTTATTTAGGCCATGACAGGTCATTCTAACCGTGGAAGAGAACTTCTCTTCCTCTTAATCAGATAATGGACAGAATAAGCTCCAAGATTCATTTTCATGTAACTAAGAATGTTTATGCATTTGTTGAATCAAAGATAATGCCTGTCCCATGAAAAAAGTAGAACTTCTTTTCTCTCGTTGTACCTTAAAGTTTTAAAACGGTATAAAAGAATCACAGAGAATCTGATTACAGTGTTTTATTATTGTGTTCACACTTCTTCAAAATGTTTGAAAATGCCCAGCTGCCTCTCTCATCAAATCAGCAACTGAATTTTGACCTGCAGCTTTACCTGAAGCTCATTAAGATGTGATGTAACTAAAACAGCAACCATCTGGTTCTCTTCTTGCAGAAAGTGAAAACTACGTTGCTCTCTGACACTTGAACTGCTTTAAGAAAGCAGCAATTTATTTCACTAGCAAGGACCACGCCATGGTATGAGTTTAAATATTTTACTGAAGGAAGGGGTCGAAGGATAGTGGGATGAATGACGAGGCGTCTGAGGAGGAACATCGAAGGAGGCTTGAGGAGAAGACTCAGGGTGGGGCATGGTCTCCAGGAAGGAAGCTTTCCTGAGCCTGCTTTGGACCCCCCCAGCTGGAACCTGGAAAGAAATGGATTAGGAGGTAGTTTGAGGTAGGGATGGAGGAGAAAGGAAGAAGCAGAGATGGAGGGATGAAGTGATGAGGAAGGGATGAAGGAGTGTGGGGAGGGGAAGAAGGAATGAAGGGAGTGAGGAAGGTGATGCAATGAGGGCATGCAGAGGAGCCTAAGTGGGGTGAAAGGGGAGGGTGGGTGTTGAAACAGCGAGCTGAGGTCAGAACACCAGGTGAGGCGAGTTTAAATAGACGCTGACTGATTACCTGAAGGTGAGGTGTGGTCCTGATCCTGAACCTAAGTTAAGATCTTAACTTCATTTCTGAATAGACAGAAGTGCATGGCCTTTACTCAGCCACCTCACATTGTTGTGCAGCAGCAGGTCAAGCTTTTGCTTCAACATCTTCCAGAAATTGTGTCAGAAGGTCATGTTGAAGAGAGAGGAAGGAAGTTGAGTTTCTTCACTGTGGTCATTATCTCAGCCAAATGTTCTGGTAGAGTGGCACACACAACAGTCTGATGGATCAGACAGGTTGTTCTCTTCCATCTGTGGTGACAGAGACCCCCTGCTTCAGATCTATGTGCCTCATTCTCAGCAGCTCTTTTATTGCTGAATATATGTCCTCTCCTCCCAGTGGTGCTGTAACCAGACGCTCCACACAGAGCTTCTTCCTATCATTGTGATCAAATCTCACATTCACTAAAAGCATCTGTAACATCTGTAGACCCGTGGGTGGCCAGAGATATGCATGGTGCACCTGAATAGCTGCATCAAGCTGTGCCAGTACATCATCTGAGAATATTTCTGATCTTCTGGTTGCTGTTGAAGCTGATCATCTTTACATCAAATAATGTTTCAGCAACAGCATTTAATCACTCCTTCACAACTGTCCCGTCACTAAATGGTTTTTTATGTTGTCCCAAAATCCACAATAACTTCAGTGAACTTTCCTTTGCAGGTCGCTGGACTGTAAAAGTATTTGTGATGAGTAGATCTGTCCTGCTTGCAGTTTGGTTAATTTATGTGCTCTCTGCTCAGACTTCAGAGGATAACTTTGCTCAGAAGAGCTGTGCTTTGTTCATGTTGCCATTTTTATTTTATGTGACTGTTTCTGAGACAAACAGGTTTTAAACAGGAAGAATGAACATGCATTTCTCTGTCCATTCATCTTTAAAACAGCAGTTTTTAGCATGAACTTGTCTTGTTTTGGAGCAAGCCATGCTGTCACCTCCACCTCTCCTGCTCTCTCCAGGTTGGCTCACTGCACTGGCTGCACAGTAAACAAAAGAGCTGATTGGCTCAACTGATATTTTTGCCGTATTAACTGCAGTAGAGGTGACCTCCAGAGTTGTAAAGTAACTAAGTACAAATACTTTGTTACTGTACTTAAGTAGAAATTTTGGTTATCTGTAATTTTCTTGAGTAATTACTTTTCAATGTACTTTTTACTTTTACTTGTTACATTTTTACACAATTATCTGTACTTTCTACTCACTACATTTTTTAAAAAGATAAGAAGTAGAAAGTCGTTACTCCTGTTTTATTCCAAGTTGCTATTACTTAAAAAAAATATTATCCTGATAAATTGTGTCTCCTGGATAGAGTGAATTTAACTTTCTTGTGTTAGGTTTACCTTTTAGCTCACCTTTTGAAACTTTGTATTTTCCTTTTTAGCTTGCAGGTAATCTTTTGGTTTTTATTCAGCATTTCTAAAAAGCGCCACAACAAATAAAATCTAAATAAATTAAATGTACAATCTAGCTACTATTTCTAAATCAGACACCTTTTTCCAAGTTTTAGAAAGTGTCTGTGCGAAATACAAATTTATAGATAATTATAACAAAGCCTGAGTTTTATTGTGAAAAAACAAAACCACTTCCTCTTAAACAACTTCCGGTATCTAAAAATGGCAGCCTGGTGCCGCAAAATACGATGTGTTTTCATGCGTTTTGTTTGTGAATCTTTGTTATGAAACGACTGCTGCAATAAGAAACGAAGTGGTTTGAACGAGGCTCTAAAAGTAAATATGTATATTTGTTTAATTATTTAGATAATAGGCATTATATCACTAAAATAGATTCTGCTGAAAGGACGGAGCAGAACATAAACAACATCTTGTTACTAAACAGACGGATAAGCTGATACCTAGCTAACATTAAACACCAGCTGTTAAAAGGTAAAATACAGAAATTAGACTTCCCCAATGTTAATCCTGTATCTTATTAAACGTTTAGTATATGTATTAGTGTCTTTGCATAAACAATGCTATCATTTGTGATCACCTTTTATGATTAATGGCAACTGCTTTTTATTTTATTGCGACATATTGTTCCTTTAAATCAGCAGTTTATTAACAAATAACTGCACAAATATTAGATGTCAACCCAATGATGAGTTTATAAATGGTTCACTAAAATCTGTTTACTGATTTGTAAACGAAACAACTAAAAGTCATATTACATTAAGATATTTTTAATTTAAGGAGATACAGTTTCTGTCATTTCAACACCTGATAAACATTGTAACCCACTTTGTTTAAAATATGTGAATATTTAGTGTTTTAAAGTCTGTTTTCTTTGAACTAGATTGTCATCATGAGCAGCAAACGAAAAAGGGTCCCTCCTGTGAGGGTGGATGAAGAAGCCAAGAGGAGGCTGGAGTGGAACATGATGGAGAATCGTAAGAACGAGGTGATCCAAGAAGATGAACTGACTCCAGATGCCCGTTCAGTACCTCCAACTGATACCACGCCGAGCAGCTCTTTCTTCTCCATCACAGAAGATGTGAATGAGGCCGCCTGCTCCCGCTCTGTGCAGTTTTCAGACGAACTTCCCAGCACATCCTCGGCTTGTGCCTCTGCCTCCCTCTCACTCTCTGTGTTACCGGCTTCGAACCTGGCCCACATCTGGAAGGCTCTCATTGGAGAGTTCAACCTTTGGGCAGCTTGGCTTCCATCGGACTATGAGCAGAGAGTGTTTGTTCTCTACAGGAAGGGTGAGCAGCTCCACATCAGTTACAGCAGCTGTGATGAGAGCTCCGAACACGAGTGGAGGCCTGATATCAGCGGCTCTGCAGCAGAGTGCAGTCTCTGCAGGATCCCACTGGAAGACCTGGACTGGCTGCAGAAGAGAATGGTAGTGCAGCTTTGCCACCAGACAAAAGAGCATGAAGTCAAGGTGGGAGCATATATCTTTAAAGTTAAAGGGGACCTACAGTATTATGCAAAATTCACTTTTTAAAGTTTTTTTTTTACTCAACTTTGGGTATGTACTTCTTAAAAAAACAGTCCTAGGACCAAAAAAAATGCACCCAGGGACATGTTTACTGTAAGTAAATGTATTTTTAATGTATATTAACGACAAGTTTTATACTTCCGTCATTTTGTGATGTCACAAGCCGTACGACAACCCACCAGAACCTGGTTCAGCCCCTTACCTAGTAACCCCCGGGTGAGACTCCTCCTCCTCAGTATAAAAAGCCGTCACCGTGTTGTTGTGCAATGTGCAGCTCTGTTCACAACAAGCTTCCAATAGGGCAATGGGTAGAGTGTTGGTCCAGAGAGTGGAAGACCAGGGTTTGAGACTGGCATGGATGCAATTTAATTATTTATTTTCGATTGTTATGAACACTTTTTCTCATGTACCTCTATTGTTTAGCTTATTAAAGCCTTGTTAAAGCCTATTTATTCGAGTTTCTGAGGTATTTTGACCGCTGCTGCTCCCTGCTCTGGTAACAGCATGCAGAATGAGTGCAGAGCAGAGGAGGAGGAGGAAAAAAGAAGAAGCTGCGACCGACTCTGCCTCTGGGTCTCATATGGTTGTACAACGGAGCTTCTGCTATTATTAGCCATGCTAACGTAAACGCTGGCTTTGGAGGGCGGAGTTAATGTCAACAGATTTTTGGAGGGCGTTACCAACAGAGCTCATTAACATAAACAGCTCTTCTGAGCGGAAGTCAGAGCAGGCAGAACTAGAAAGTGGGAAATTTTATTATCTGAGAATTATTTTGTGCHTTAAARTGAATGAACATGGTCTGGATAGCCCACAGACATACCATAAAAATTTCTAGGGCCCATAATTGGTCTCTTTTAAACAACCCCAATTTTAACAAAGCTGGGACAATGTGTTAAATGAAAATGCAACAGTTTGCAAACTCATAAACCCATACTTTATTTAAAACCAAACACAATAAACATATCAAATGTTTGAACTAAGAAACTGTCATATATGATGTGAAAAAAACAAACAAAAAAAAAGATAAATCCTCTCCTTGGGCTGCCACCTTATCGTGGTGGAGAGGTTTGAGTGTCCCAATGATCCTATGTTGTCGGGGGCTTCATGCCCCCAGTAGGGTCACCCAAGGCAAACAGGTTCTAGGTGAGGGATCAGACAAAGTGCAGACCCTATGATGAGTACCATAAAAGGAGTCCGTGTTCCCTCGCCCAGACGCGGGTCACTGGGGTCCCACTGAGGACCTGAGGCCAGGCCTGGAGGTGGGGCACATTGGTGAGTGCATGGTGGCTGGGCTTTCACCCATTGAGCCCGTTCGGGTACAGCCTGAAGAGGAGACGTGGGTCCCCCTTCCCATGCGCTCACCACCTGTGGGAGGGGCCGTAGGGGTCGGGTGCGATGTGTGTTGGGCAGTGGTCGAAGGCAGGGACCTTGGCGGTCRGATCCTCGGCTACAGAAGCTGGCTCTAGGGACGTGGAATGCCACCTCTCTGGTGGGGAAGGAGCCTGAGCTGGTGTGTGAGGTTGAGAGGTTCCGACTAGATATAGTTGGACTCATCTTGATGCACCGCTCTGGCTCTGGAACCAGTCTCCTCCAGAGGGTTTGGACACTCTTCCACTCTGGAGTTGCCCATGCTGAGAGGTGCCGAGCAGGAGTGGACATACTTATTGCCCCCCATCTCAGTGCCTGTACGTTGGGGTTCACCCCGGTGAACGAGAGGGTAGCCTCCCTCCGCCTACGGGTTGGGGGATGGGTCCTGACTGATGTTCGTGCCTATTATTGTCCATCACGAACACCATGTTCAAACATAAGGGTGTTCATATGTGCTCTTGGCACCAGGACACCCTAGGCCTCAGTTTGATGATCGACTTTGTTTTTGTTTCATTTGATCAGCAGCTGCATGTTTTGGTCACTCGGGTGAAAAGAGGGGCGGAGCTGTCAACTGACCACTACCTGGTGGTGAGTTGGCTCCGTTGGTGGGGTAAGATGCCGGTCAGACCTGGCAGACCCAAACGTACAGTGAGGGTCTGCTGGGAACGTCTCTCAGAGACTCCCGTCAGATGGAGCTTCAACTCAAACCTCCGGGGGAACTTCGAACATGTTCCAGGGGAGTTGGGGGACATTGAGTCCAAGTGGGCCACGTTCCGTGCCTCCATTATCGAGGCGGCTTTCCTGAACTGTGGCCGTAGGGTTGTTGGTGCCTGTCGTGGTGGCAACCCTCGCCAGGACACACTGGAGGGACTATATTTCTCGGCTGGCCTGGGAGCGCCTTGGGATTCCCCCGGACAAGCTGGTCCAAGTGGCTGGGGAGAGGGAAGTTTGGGTCTCTGCTTAGGCTGCTGCCCCCGCAACCCGATCCCGGATAAGCGGCAGAAAACGGAATGGACGGACGAAAAAGAGATAAATTTTGACTTTGATAGCAAAACGTCTCATCATTCTGGTCCATGTTTCCCTCTGAAACATCTCCTTTTCTTTAACAACAGTCTGTAAACATGTAGTACTTGAGGAGACCAGCTGTTAGTTTAGGAGGGAATGTAGACTCATTCTGGTCTTATGTATGCTTTGACAGGTGGGAGTTTATCTGCTTGAATCAGGACTCGGAAAGCCGGAGTTTCTCAGTGGGGGAAACGCTCGTCTGAAAAAATCAAGCCACCTGATTCAGAAATTAATGGAATATTTTTATGATTTCATCATTCCTGGTAGGTCTGTGGGCCTAATGTATAATTTTACGACATATTGTTGCATTAGGCTCATGTAAAAAGCATTACTTGGTATTAACAACTCTCTCACAGTCCTACACAACTTGTTTCCCTGTAGAAGTCGTAGAGAACGAGGAAGAAGAGTGTGACACTGACCTGGAGAGGCAAAATGTGGAGGAACTTTATGATCACGTGAGGCTCGTGCACCAAAACGAGAGCCAGGATGTGACATATGATATCAAGCACAAGGCTCTCATCCCCGTACTCAGGCTGTATCAGAGCCAGGCCGTCAACTGGATGCTGAGAAGAGAGAAGTACAGGAACACCACACCTAAAGGTAGTCTGCACAGACTCATGTAAAACTTTGTGTGTTTAGACTTCTGATTGATGGTTAGTGTCAGAATTATTTGAACCTGGATACAAGCCTTTTTGGCACAATATAATTACGGATGCTCGATATATCGACATTAATATCGGTATCGGTCTGATAAGTAAAACTGGGCTGATATTAATGTCAAACATTGATTTCCCACTTTTCAGCTTTGTGTTTCTGTTTTGGGAGGGGAAATGGTTGGTCGAGTGGTGTCTGTTTGATCATGATAGTGATACTGATGCTCCGCAGCCAGGAATAACTGAAGTAAAGAGCCATGTTAGTGTTCTGGTTGTGTTTTTATGGTATCAATAAAAGCAGTGCTGAGCATTAGTCCCCTAAAGCGCAAAAGTGCTGATTGCGCTGTGATGCGGAAGCTCAGCGTAGTTTACTTGGCATCTGGAAATACGTGACTCAAAAGTCTGTTTCAACAAATCACCTCCCCAAACTGCGACAACATGTGCCAATCTGTAAAAGGAAATAATCATTCCACTAGTGGCAGTATTGTGCTGCTGACATGTCTCCTGGTTACACTGGAATGTTTTCTGGTGAATGGAGACAGATTTGCGCTTTATGATTAGCTTCTGCTAAGTTTATTTGCGCATATGCACTTTTGAACATGCGTACCTAAATAAATTGAATAGCGCTTTAGAAATTTCGCAACTAAATTTTGAATCTGCGCTGCCCACCACTGGATAAAAGATAAAAGTGTGTTTGTGTATTTATGTACATAAATAATTTATGTGTTTGCGTAATATCGATAAATATTGGTTATTAGCAATAACAGCAATAATAATAAAATCAGATATCGGCTAAAATTTTCGTATTGAGGCATCCCTAAATATTATTTATGTAGAAAAGCAAAACATTTAAATATATAGTTTTGAGAAAGACTGACTGCATTTTTTTTTAGACATTTAGAGATGATTTAATAAAGTTTCAAACTGTGAAAAGTACTCAGTTTTAACTGTTTCTTTGCAGAACAATCCCTGCACTTTCTCTGGAGGGAGTTGGTTACTTTGTGTGGCAAGAAATTGTTTTATAATCCTTACACCGGCTGGTAAGAAGTCAGAGATGTATTAAATACTGATTAAATACAATAAACAAGAATTCATCCAGGTTTTCTTTATAAACCTCTGTAGTCACCATCACTGATTTATGTTTTAACATTTTAGTTATAACTCTAAGGTGTAAAACTTTTCACTGATATACAGTATGAAGTTCTGTTTTTTTCTTTGTAACCTAGCTTAATTAGAGAGTTTCCTCTGGCTGGTGTGGACTGGCCTGGTGGGATCCTGGCTGACGAGATGGGACTCGGTAAAACTGTGGAGGTTTTGGCCCTCATCTTGTTTCACACTCGACAGGACCTGAAGCAGGACACCCTCACTCTGCCTGTGGTGAGGATCAAAATGTTTTATTTCTATTCTTTATTTCCCAACAATTGCCAGGACAATTTACCATTATAAAACCCTAATTCTGGAAAAGTTGGCACGTTGTGTAAGCCGTACATTAACAGCATCTCATAAACCCTTATTTTAGTCATCTAAATAAAGTAGCTCCTGGTCCATGTTTACCTCAGTGAAACAGCTGCTCTTCTTTACCAGTCTTCAAACATCTGGGGCCTCAGGTATTTCAGCAGATGGTGCTCTAGGTGATGAGATACATTTATTCTTTTCAATTTTTCATAGATGAACATTATTCTGAAAATGTTTCCCTATTTTTATACACAGTTTCTTACAGACTGGTGAACCCCTGCCTATCTTTACTTCTGACAGATTCAGTTTGTTTTTATATCCGCTCCTCTGACTTACCTGTTGATATTAGTTGTAAAATGCTCCTCCAGCTGTTTCTTATATTGTTGGTGTGGTATCCTCTTTTAGCTCAAGCCTTTTGGGCGTTTGTCTAATTTTATACGGATGAACACAGCCACTGTTTTTACAGGCTTTTGTTGCTTCTGGATCAACTTTTTAAAGAAGACTTTCTACCATTAAATTCAAATGTACATTATTTTTTTCATAAAAAGTTATATCATTTCATGGTTTAAGCATTTGCTATGTTTCCTATATTCTGTACGGGTTAATAAGCTTTGTAAATCATTGCATTCTGATTTTTGTATTTTACACAACATCCCGGCTATTTTAAATTTAGAGTTTTATTTTAAACACACTAAAGACTAAGCATTAACTGAAATGTGAATTATGAAATGGTCAATTGTTTTTCTTTAAATTTTTCAGGGACAGTCTGTGAACTACTTTGTTCCACCTCGTCCGCTGGAAGGGCAGAAAGCTAGATGTTGTAAAACTGAAGCTCAGCCAAAAATAAAAACATCATACCCAAGTATGTAACACTGAAAGTCTTTCACACAACTCCTCATCAGCGATCACAGTTTATTTCACATCTGATATTGTTCCACAGCTGTGCGTGTCATGCTGCTCACTGCAATAAAGGAGATGCGATCTGGAAAAGGAGCCTCAATCAATGCAGTGTTCACCTACATTCGTGCCACGTACGGCTATGACCTCTTGAAGAACCGCAATCACATTAAGAAGACTCTTGCTAAGCTCATAGATGAGGGCATGGTCGAGAGAGTGAAGGGCCGCGGCTTGGCCGGGTCGTTCAAGCTGGGCAAGAAGTACAAAGAAACAAAGAAAACATTACCAGGAGCATCTAAGTCTGTAAGAAGAATAGTTTATTTTACAACTGTTTTATACAATGATCAGTACAGAATGTTTTTGTTTTATAAGATATCTTGATTTCAGAATCAGAAACACTTCATTGCCATTGTCAGAAAACGAGTTACAGACCAGGAATTTCACAGCTACCTGTTCACAAAGGTGCAGTCCAAGTTGTGGTTTAATGAAGTGTTGTCTGTTTTTAACCCTCTAAGAACACATTAATTATGACCCACGCATGCGAAGCGTAAGCGGGAGTCATATTGTTTTCATACTGTTTATTTATTTAATTATTTATTTATATATTTTTATTAATTTTTTTTTTCAGTGATTTTTGGTCAACCGTAGCACAAAAA